GCAGTGACATGCAGTCAAATATTTTGCAGTTCCACAGCTTTTTATGCTCATAAATTATAAAAATGATTGTGCTGCACTTATTAGGAGGATTGTTGAAGGTGCCGCTGATGTGCAGAGGGGGATTTGCATCTTTAATAAACTACAACCGTTTGCACCCTTTTAAAAGTAAGAATGATTAATAAATCCATATGAAACAGTCCCTTAAAAGTGACGTCTCATTGCAGTTTCAGGCTCAGGCGTGCTTTGCACTTACACTACAAGTGATCCACTTCAAATTGGACCGTGCTCTGGCACACCTCTTCCATCCGGGACCAGGCCTGGCCAACTGAACTGTGTCTGAAAAGATCTAGTGGGCTCAGACACGACTCTAAACGAATCAACGCTGTTTTTCAGCCTTTATAAAGCATATAAACATAGCTATTCTCTCGATAAAATCCATGTAAGCCATTTAGAAATAAAGCTAGAGTCACCAGGCAGACAGAAGCCCTGTCTATCACGCAAATCTATGTCTGTTGAAAAGTGAATTTGATGCATGAATGAATGAAGCGGATTTGATGCGCAAATGAAGCAAGTAAACTCAAACTGTTCACACGCAAATAGCTGATTGATTCCCACTTGCCGCTTCGTGTAAACACAGCATTAGAGGTCAGAGGTTTACCTGCACAACACTTCACTAGCTGGCCTCTACTACACTCACCCCCTAAACTAGGTCACAACACCAATATAATCCCCACCGGTCCTAAACCACCCAACCCGCTCTGAGCTGGGATCGACCCAGCGACTTTCCGCATGGGAGTCAGTTGCTTCACCAAGGAGACCACAGTCTTTAGCATCTGTCGCTAGAGCAACTTTAGAGGTCAGAGGAGTGAGGTTTACCAGCACAGCACTTCACTAGCTGGCCTCTGCTACACTGTCAATCCAATAAAGATGTTTTCTTAATTTGCTGGTATTTTTTCTATTTGCATGTGTTTTCTTAAGTCAAAGTGCATTGAGATGTCTCAGCCACTATATAAATGTTTAATATATTCATTAAAACTGGTATCAGAGTTGGGAAAAAAGTGTTCATCTTTAATAGTAAGTGACAACAGAATAAAAAAAAAAACTGTCAGGAACATGAGATTCTTCAATGATTTGAAACTTCTTCAGACCCCAAAAGAACATCTTTGGAGAGACTCTTTTAATTTGGATTAAGCACATTGTGGTTCTCCCATAACAGTGTCACGACTTGCTCTTTAAGGTGTTTCAAGATCATAAAAAGTTTTAGGATAATGAAATTTTAGGGTGGTTAAATAAGAGATCACTCAGCAGCATGGACTCCATCCAATTTTTAACAAGAGATAGTAACGGCTCGCCACTTATCCCAGAGATAGGAAGCTGGATTTTATCCATATGAGATCACAGCTCAAGCATATAATTTAGCCGGCCAAACCAAAGCAGTACTATTGAAATGATGGACCTCCTGCACACTTAAGGCACATTATTCAACATACATTAAATGTGAGATTGAAGAGTGCTGTAACTCTGCCTTGGTCACGATGTGGAGCACACAACAAAGGAGTAATTTATGCTAAAAGCATTATTTATGGCACAATTGTGATTGTAAAACCAGCTTAATCCACCGTGCTGAATAAAGTGTGCAGAACTCTTAGCAAGACAGATATACATTTGATGCGAGTAACAAGCCGCATGATGGTGCTAAGAATTAAGAATGCAAAAAGTCCAGTAGCGAATGCTCATAAATAAATTAAACATGCTCCAATAATATGAAAGAAAACTCATATATGTAAAGACATGCAAGCAGAGACCAGTCATCTTTTCTTATGCAATATTAATATTAGGCACTCTGCATACTGTCCAGCTGTATACATAATTGCCATTCCATTGGTTTTTCCATTGGTTGATGCCAAGGGAAGGTTTAGTCAGACATGAAAATGCACTCGTCATTTCCAACCTGTTTGAGTTGTTTTCTTCTGTTGAGCACAAAAGATTATACTTTGAAGAATGATTTTACTTTCTGTCCACAGAGTTTACTTAAACCTTTTTTTTACATTTTAAAATGGCATCAACAGTACACTTAAGAAAGCTTTGAAGCATCGTAAGGGTGATTAAGTAATTGTAGACCCATTTTAAGTAAGATTTTTTTTCAGAAAAAAAAAAACAGTATATAAGTAAAAATACAGTATGTATGCCTTTTTTTCAGGATATGTAATCTTTGAAAGAGACTGCATAATGAATGTCAAGCACAAATGTGTCACTTTCATCCCTCAAGGCTATTTTATCTTAGAAAAGAGAGTCTCTTCTTGGATTTAAATGCTTTGAATGCAAGGCCCAATATATAAGTATGTTATATGAAGAAATGATGAAGTACTTTACTGTACTTTTAATATAGACCATCCCTATAGGCTCTTAAAGTGTCTATAAGTGTGCAGATTTAGTGATCAATGTAATGGGCACAAAAAAAATAAAAAATAGATCTGATGCATGTAGACGTGCTTTTTCAAGAATACTGCCAATTTCTAAGTGCAATCCATCATCCTGATCCTGTAATGGACCATATCTACTCTTCATTCAGCAGGAATAAATATGAAATCATCTTAGCTTGATTAGAGCACTGAATGAGATATGGAAATAGACATGCACCATGTTGGAAAGAAGAAAGTACAACAGACATGTTTAAAACATGAAGTACCATGCTAGCATTTGAAACCAATTCACTAGTTGCTCTATAAAAGAGAAATAAGGATCTTAAAAGAACTTGAAGATATCTCAGAAATATCTACAGCGCACAATAAAACCATGCTCACATGAATTCAGTTAAGGGTCAAACATTTATAAAAAGTAGGTTTAACTAAAAGCCTGAACTCTGTGCTCAAGTTATTCTTCATAAATGCCAACTTAGGGCAAAGGTCACAATGCGCTTTATGTTATAATTGTATACTGTTGGGGTATGTTGTCACAAACGTCAGTGTTTTTTTTTTTTCTGCAATAATGGTGGAAATGTTCAATAGCTTATTGTAGCCCATGCGTTAAGGTATGAGTCTATATAGAGCCGGACTTTTTGAAAAATAACCTCACCTTGAGAAATACTCTATTCAATTGAGTGTAAAAAGTGTAACTAGCCCCCATCTCCCCCGCAGGCTACAACTGTTGCAACTGTTTTGACAGATAATCTATATCAAAATGAAATGGATACAACTTTTATGAAATAATTAATACAGTTTTAATGGTCATATGAGATAGAAATAGCCTAATAAAATCACATTTTTCTTTTGTACATTTTGAGGGCATGAAAAATAGCCAATGGGACAAACACAAATCTTACTCCATGCTACAATGAACTAAACACATTTAGGACAATTCCCATTCTGTTTGGACGAGAAATAAAGTATGCTTATCATATTAGAGTTTTCTGGCTTCATCTCATTTCATGGTATCTTAACAGGACATTCGCTATAATAAAGTAGAGATTTGTGAATCTTTCTTTTGAGTCTGTACTTTTCTATAATAGGACTCACTTGGAAAGGTTATTCACAAGTAGATGAGTCATATGTGTTCTGATTTACACCTGATGTTTTAATCTATCTTTATTATTTTTATCCACTTTCAACCATTTTCCTCATTTTTTGACAGGAGGATGTAAAACTTCATTTTGATGGTTCCTATCGCACATTTTGTTGACTAAAAGTTGCATTGCAACTACATGCCAATTACTTTTCATCAGTATTAGTAGACTGTCTGGTAACTATCTGCTAATACAGCTCCTTCAATATTGAACTGACTTTAAGAAACTCAAGTACACATCAACCTACACTAACCGTAACCCTAACCCCAACCTAACATTCTACTTATAAACGATTCAGAATTAGTTTTCATATAGATGCAATGTAACTTAAATTTAACAAAATGCATCAAAGGGACCATCAAAATAAAGTGATACCGGATGTATAAATACATTTATGGCTGAGATTCTTATGATATTATACTTTAAATAACAAGATAGGAGCAGGAGTTTTAGTTTAAGCACAGATAGCCACAAAACTACATTGGACACTGTGTGGGTTTGTCTCAGAACTCTATTATGAACATTATTATGAGAACATTATGCTTTATACATGTTTTGATTTTTTTAAATCAAACGTACGATTTCAAATGATAAAGTTGAACTCCCATCTGGCTAGATATAACAACATATCCTGTAATATTAAAGAATCAGGTCAGCAGGCAGATCGTATCTGTCTAAATGAATTCAACTATTCTGTATGAGTTTAATACTGTATGGTTTTTACACTAAGAAAATCATCTAACCATAACATATTTTTGCCAAGCTCAAACCTTGCAGCCTCCATTCACACCTGTATTTAGCATCATCCACTTGCAATTGGATCAACAAAAAATGCCTGTGAATCAAGGCTAAACAGGGGTAAACTAAATCAGTGACTAGACAAATCATGGTGATCTGGATTAACAGAAAAAAAGTCAAAAGCATTAAGGGTGAACCAAGTACCTTACTAATGAAATACCAAGTTTATAGTACCAGTGTTAAAATGAACTTGGACTATACACTGCAGTTTTAGGTGATGGAGTTATTGTTACAATCTTGTGTCTTTTCCTAATATAATTTAACTGTAGCACTGATTAATGCTAATTATTTAGGTTCTGATTATGGTTTTATTTTTGTTTTTAATATCTGCGGCTGCAGGGTATTAACTGGACTATATCTCCTAAATACGGTAACCTAAATAGAAAACAGTTTGATGCAATATTTTAGAGCATTTTTTCATGTTGCACTAATTATAGCAAATACAGCAGAAAACAAATGCTTTTCGCATTTTACATCTAATGATTTGAATAACCTTGCTTCATACTGTACATAAGTGAACTAACTCTTGTTTTAAAATTGCAAAATATCTATCATCGACTATAAATATAGAGATGACATTATCCGAATCCTCATGAATAGTAATGGATAAACTTTATCCCAGGATGCCAAGTACACTCACCCATATCAGCCGCGCGCTTTTGATTCCACTCGCGTTTTATCCCTGCGGTCAATGCACAGATATTCAGTCTCTCAGGATCCACTCAAACGGACACTTTTTACCTTTAGTCCGAGCAGTATTACAGCCCAACTAAAATCATTATCGATCCGACTCCATATCGCAAAACACTTTAAAACGCGTTGCCTCCTCTGCTTAATCCAACATCACAGCAAACCGGTATAAATCCAACAGCAATTACCATGATGGGCATCCGTCGTTCAAACAAACGGAATATGAATGGATTCTCGCTACGCAGCAAGCAACTGTCTGAAGATGCGAGCAAAAGTTGTTCTGGGTTGCATTATTGGAGCAGTGATGCTTAAATCATGCGGAGCTTATCGACCCGAGGTTCCAGAGGTAAGCAAAGCCAAAAAAAACTGTGAGTCTTGGAGGCTTTGCGTAAGAGCAAACGTGTGCTCGCCGCCGCAGTCGAGTCTTAGCAGCTCCGTCCCTGAGAAATATCACAGCCCGCGATGATTGCGCGCTCCCGCCCTCAGGTCCTCCACAGTCATAATAAAGGTGACCCGAGGCAAACCTGCTGCGGTAAACATTCGCGGAATGCCAGTATACAACCAACCCTCTGCCCAGCCGAGACTCATGATGAATGTAAATGCCACTCTGCTAATCACAGTATAATAGCGAAAGAGATCCAGTGGGTGTAGAATAGCATAAAGGTATGGACTCCAACCAATTGCTATATGACAGTTCATAATATATGATATGCTCTGGCAAAACAAAAAGAAAAAAAGAGAAAAAAGCTGTTACTGAATCAAGGTGAAATGTTACAACATTTACAAATAGGCTTTTTGTGTTTAATTGTTTTACTTTGAGGATTTATCTTCTTAATACTTTATATACAATATAACCTTCACAGCATCCTGTGTTTATGGACCCCAGTGATTTTATGAAGTAATCTTAAACTTTAGCTATAAAGAGATGGTTCACTTAAAAATATGAAACAAAATCATTAATTAAAAAAATATTGCTGGGCCATATCGATATGGCCAAAAACTGATCATGATAAAAAAATGTTCATGTAAGTTTATATGGATATTAATTTATAAATCAAAAATCACTCAATATTAAAGGCAGATCTTTGCTCTAGAGTTAAAGATTAGAAACAATAATGTTAAAATGCATAGCTACTTTTTATTGTCAAACATTTCACAAATCTGAGGTACAGTATAATATTTAAACCTTTAACTTGCAAAAAACAGAAAAATAAATAATTGTTTATGGTGTCAGAAGCACAATTTAACCAAACACATTGGTAAGAAAAAATCTTAGATTGGAAGTTTATTCATTTATTTTAATTTTTTTGGCTTAGTAACTTTATTAATTTGGAGTCGCCACAGCGGAATGAACCGCCAACTTATCCAGCATATATTCTATACGGCGCATGCTCTTCCATCTGTAACCCATCACTGGGAAACATCCATACACACTAATTCACACACATACACTACGGACAATTTATCTTATCCAATTCACCTATAGCGCATGTCTTTGGACTTGTGGGGGAAACCTGAGCACCCACACAAACACGGGGAGAACATGCAAACTCCACACAGAAATGCCATCCGACCCAGCTGGGGCTCAAACCGGCGGCCTTCTTAGGCTGTGAGGCGATTGTGCTACCCTTTCTGAGCACCATGCTGCCCAGATTGGAAGTTAAACAGTTAATTAACATTTAAGATTAAATTTTTAGAAAACTTTTGGCAGCCTACGCAGGCTTCCTTCTAGTGGTATGTTGAGGAATCGCTAAATAATTCAAGTAAAAAAAATGAACACACTTTTAACCCTTTGATGTGTACCTTAACAGCGATGTGATCAGGAAATTGAGTTTAATAAGCTAAACTTTTTATTTTATTTTAATTTTTTTAATGCTTGTTATGTAATTTATCATTTGAGGTTATGATTTAACTTCGAATTTAAATATGTAAATCCAATTCATATATTTAAAAAACAAGTTAACATTTAGATTTCAAATATATACAAAAAAGTCATATATACATGCAACATATATTTAAAAATGTATCAAACAGAGTTATATATGAATATTGACATACCTGTATATATGTATTTATGAGGTCCAAGAAACATTTGCAGGGTTTTTTTTTAATAAACAGGCTACTTTATGATAATACTGAACATTTACACTAACATTTATCTAAACTTTGTTTTGTCAACTTGCAAAACTCACTATGTGCCAACACCTCCGCATAAAAGGCTATTGCGGCAGCTTCACAACGCATGAGCGGCGCGTGAGCAGCGCGGCTATATCTTAGCGTCCATGTTCACAAACGGGACACTGGGAGCAGAGCAGCATGTCAGTGTCAAGCAGGAAAGGTGCGTGTGTGGGGCGTTAGGCGCTTGGATATGTTTTTTTTTTTTTTTCTGCGCACATGCTCAGTTTGCTTTTTGATTAAACTACATTTCTTTCATCACCGTTGGTTCGGTTGCACATAGAGAATGGAACCCTCCTGGGCTGGCCCACGTGAGACCCACCTGCGATGGCCATTATTATTATTTATGATAATACTTTACATTTAAATACAGCAGTTTTCTTTCAACTTTTTAACAACAGAGCCATTTTAATTAACTTTTAAAATCGCATTTTTAAACTGTAAGTGTGTTATTGTTCAAACTATTTATTATGTTTGAAGTGTCTGACAAAAATAAATATTCATAATAAAAAGAATTAATCTGCCACGTTTGTGAACTGTGCAGAGCTGTAGCTGCTTGATTATTGTAGGCCTACCATGTATTTCAATACCAGTCATCATGGTGCTACTTGGAGAGAGAATTATTTCTGAGGTGGTACTTGGTGAAAAAAGTTTGAGAAACACAGATCAAGTGGATTCGCGAGAACAAAAACTGGCAAAAAACATACCTCCGGAGATGTTTCTGGCTCTCTCCAGAAATGTATATAGGGGTACTCAGAATAAGACTGGGTTGATTAAAACAGGGTCTAGCATTTAAAAAAAAAAATAAATAAATAAATAAATATATATATATATATATATATATATATATATATATATATATATATATATATATATATATATATATATATATATATATATATATATATATTGTAATATCTCAGCACTTTATCGCATCCTCCAACCCACCAGGGGGTGCACATGTTGCCCTATACTCCTCAACATTAGATGGCAGTAATGACTCTTGTTCCTCTAAACTCTCCTGTAATCAGCGTAACCACCACCACCTGTTCTTTGCTCTATATAAGACTGCTTTGTATGCTGCTCTATGTTCAGTCCTGAACTAAACCTCTTGCTGCCAGTTAAGTTGTTCTCAAGACTTTTTGCTTGTTCTCAAGACTTGTTTGCTATTTTGCTGTTTGATTGTTTTGAGACCCTCGTGTCTATTTTATTTTGTATGTATTTTCAGGAAGCTCGGCTTTCCTATTTTTGTTGTACTTTTCAACCTTGCTGTAGAGAGATATTATCTCTCCTTTTTGTCAAATTTACCTCAGTAAAGACTATATTATTTTTTTGGAAATTCATCAGTTGTGGACTCACTTTGTTCCTCCTCTGCTCTTGGGCCACCAGCTGCTGACTTAGCTCATCTAGTAAGATCTACTGCTAACCACACCGCAGACCCGGGTTCGATCCCCACTCAGATCATCACAGCAGGACTGAACCATGGAAAACCGCCCAGCAGAGGAGGCTGCACCAGTCTCAAATGTGGATCGCATTCTTGCGGCACTTTCAGAACAAGCCACCGCTATTCACCAGCATGACCAAACTTGCGAAATTCTTAGCCTCTTGAATCCCCACTCTCAGACTACAATGGCCCAGGTAATTACGCCACAGTCTGTTCCCTTGTCAACACCTGAGCCCAAGTTGCCCCCTCCCCAGCGCTTTGATGGCAGTTTCGAGAACTGCAGGGGATTCATTACTCAATGTACTTTGATCTTTCAACTACAACCTAGTTGTTTTCCTACTGACTGCAGTAAGGTGGCATATATAATTACACTCCTTACGGGCAAGGCTCTGGATTGGGCCTCAGCCTTGTGGGATAAGAAGTCCCCTGTAACCACTAATCTCCAGCTCTTCCTAGCAGAGATGAAGAGAGTGTTCCTCCATTCAGCAGACAGTGGAGAGGCAGGACGCCGTCTCCTAAGACTATCTCAGGGGTCCCGCAGTGCCGCTGAGTTTGCCATTGAGTTCCGTACTCTGGCCACCGAGAGTGGGTGGGGCCAATCTGCACTTAGAGCGATCTTTCACAATGCATTGTCTCCCAAGCTCAAGGATGAACTGGCATTCAGAGACTACCCATCAGACCTTGAGTCCCTCATTGGTTTAGCCATTCGGGTGGATAACCGCCTTAAGGAGTGGCAGACAGAGAGAGAGCAGGACACAATTATGACCCGTCATGACAATGTTGTTTGTCCCACACTGGATCCTGAGGAACCTATGCAATTAGGGGCTACAAGGATCTCGCTCTCTGAAAGAACCCGATGAATGAAGGAGAAGTGCTGCATTTATTGTGGGAAGCAGGGTCATTTCCGGGCAACATGTCCAGAGTTGTCGGGAAAAGTCAGATCTCGTTCCGGTGTAGGGGCCCCGGGGCGAGAGTAGGTGTGATTCCCTGTCCCATTTTCTCTGGTTTGACCATCCAGGCAGTCATCTCTCTCCAACAACCCCACGAGGTGGAGATCTTCATTGACTCAGGTGCAGCAGGAAACTTTATGGACCTCAAGTGTGCTCAAGATCTTTCCTGTGATCTCCTAACCCTGCAAAACCCCCTTAAAGTCTCAGCAGTAGACGGCAATCCGCTAGGCTTAGGCCACATCCACCAATGCACCACAGCTCTCCATGTGAGAATTGGAGATCATGAAGAAAACCTTCAGTTTCACATCATTCATTCCCCTAAGATCCCCATAATCCTGGGACACCCCTGGTTAGTAACCCATAACCCACTTATTGATTGGTCTAAAGGAGTTATAGTAAGTTGGAGATGTAAGGGGTCCAGTTTGAACACCATGTTTGGTCAGTCAACCAAGGATTCAACCCTTTGCCATTGCCCTCTTCCCCTTGAGACTCAGCCAGAACCCCCCAGGCACACCAAGGCCATCCCCCTGGACATCATGACTATTCCCAAGCCACAGATTGTTCCCAAGTCGCTCAATACTCCCCCCGAGATATCCCGAGTTCCCCCCGAATACTCTGACTTAGCTGAGGTTTTCAGTAAGACTCGAGCAGCCTCACTGCCCCCTCACAGGCCATATGATTGCCCCATTGATCTATTACCTGGAACCTGCCCACCCCGCGGAAAGTTGTATTCGCTCTCTGGGCCTGAAAGAGCTGCTATGGAGAAGTATGTACATGAGTCCCTAGATAGTGGTTTTATCCGCCCCTCCACGTCACCAGCCGGGGCAGGATTCTTTTTTGTTGGTAAGAAAGATGGTTCCCTTAGACCCTGCATTGACTACAGAGGTCTCAACAGCATTACAGTCAAGAATCGCTACCCTCTTCCCCTAATGACAACAGCCTTCAAGATCCTACAAGGAGCTACCATCTTTACCAAGCTGGATCTCCGTAGTGCATACCATCTAGTCAGGATCAGGCAAGGGGATGAGTGGAAGACCGCGTTTAACACTCCCACTG